CCCGCGAGCCCGGCCTGCTTGAGCGCTTCTTCTACCGCCCGCCTGGCCCCGGCCCCGGCGCCGACTCCAGCTCCGGCCCCGCCGACCTGCTGCTCTTCTCCCTGCTCGTGCCCTTCGTGCATCACGAGGGCGTCACCGGGCAGCAGGCCCGCGACGCGCTGCTGCTCATCATGGCCATGTCGGCTGGCAACTGCACCGTGGCCTCCTACATCACCAATCACTCCTACTTCTGCCCGGTGAGTGCCGGCTCAGCCCCGGTTTCTTTGCCCCCTAAGCCTTCCACCCTTGCTGGCTCAGCTGCCCCGTGCCCCTGCCCCTCCGGGGGGTCTGAGGAGCTGCCCTCTGTCCCCATGGCGTCCGTGGGGCAGGGCAGGGTGGAGGCCCCCAGCGCCTTCCTGGCTCCCTGCAGGAAGCCGGGGCTGGGCCATGCCTGCTGGCTGCCGGCCTGGAAGTGGTTGGGGCTGGCGGGGCCTGGAGCTGCTAACCCTTCCCTGCCTGCGGCTCAGAGCCTGGCCGATGCCCACCCCATGGCCCCCACTGCCCCGCAGAAGCTGGGCGGGGGGCTGGCCTTGCCCCATGAGCGAAGCTGTTCTGGGAATCGGGGCCAGGACGCCTGGGTTTTCTTCCCAGTGCCCCCGTGCTGCTCTCTGCCTCAGTTTCCCTATCCCAAGGGACTGGCTGTCTGGGGGTGGGGGGGCAGGGCCTGCTGATTGGGGCTCTGCTCCGGCCCTTGTGCTGCGGCTGAGCGCCCCCCACCTCCCTGGTGCCCCCAGGTGCTGGCCACGGGGCTGAGTGCCCTGTACTCCTCGCTGCCCCGCAAGATCGAGGTGCGCGGGGACGACTGGCACTTCCTGCGGCGTGAGGACTGGGCCGGCGTCGCCTCCCTCGCGCTCTTCATGAACTCTCTCGAGTTCTGCAGCGCCGTCATCCAGGTGGGTGCAGGGGGAGAGGTTCCTGGGTGGCGGAGGGGGATCGGTGGCCCCGATTCTGCGAGCCGCCGCAGGGGCAGGAGGGGACCCTGGCGTCCCACGCTGACAGCTCTCCCTCGCAGGTCGCCCACCCGCTGGTGCAGCAGCAGCTGGTCGACTACGTCCACAATGGGTTCCTGGTGCCTGTCATGGGGCTGGCCCTGCACAAGGTGGGGGCTCGCGCTGGCCAGGGGCGGTGGGGTAGGAAGAGATCTTTAGCACCGTGGCTGGGTTGCAGTAGGCCTCAGGTTCCCCATGGAGAAGGGGCCTGGGCAGGGTTCCTGATGGGGGTGTGTACGCGTGTGCATGGGAGGGAGTGCAGGGTTTGGGCCCACACATAACCTCGCACCCCGATCTGCGGCAGACGTCAGTGGAGGAGATGATCGCCAGCACGGCTTATCTGGAGCTGTTTGTGCGCAGCGTGGCCGAGCCTGCCCTGCTCCGTGCCTTCCTGCGCTTCATCCTGCTGCATCGGCACGACGGCGCCACCATCCTCGACACCCTCGTCGCCCGCCTCGGCACCAACTCCCGGGTCAGCCCCGTGCTGCGCGGCACGGCGGGGGTGGGGGGAGAATGGGGATATGGCCCAAACCATCACCAGCCTGGACAGTGCCCTGGCCTGGCCTGGCCCCTGCCCCAGGCTTGCCCTTCCAGCCTCACCCACCCTGGTCCTGGGGGAGCCCAGCCACAGCTGCCTGCGCTGACCGGCCGCGGCCATGTTCCCCCAGCTCTGCATGGTGTCGCTGAGCCTCTTCCGGACACTGCTGAGTCTCAACTGCGAGGATGTCATGTTGCAGCTTGTGCTCAGGTACGTGCCCCGAACCCCACCCCCCACCCTGGTGCCTGGCTGTGCCGCAGAGCTGCTTGTGCCCAGCACCTGCCCGCTGACCACTTGCAGGCAGCTGCAGGGAGGCTGGCACGTGTCCAGTGCGGGAGAGCTCCTCCCTTCGTGCCCCCCAGCTGTGGTGCTCTCTCCAGCCTGGCCATCAGGGCCTTGAGCATTCCTGGCTGGGGCTCTGGGGCATTGGGCAGGGGCAGGGCATGGAGGTGGTGCAGATCTGGGAGTCTGTTCCCTGCCGGCCAGGCAGGGGTGCGTGTACACATAGGTGTGCCGGCTGCCCCTCAACCCTGGCAGGGCGCGGCCATCACTGTCTCACGTCCCCGCAGGTACCTGATCCCCTGCAGCCACGTGATGCTGAGCCAGCGGCGGGGGGGCGCGGGGCG